AGGCTGCGTACTTTAAGGCTGCAGACCCTGAATTGGGATACAGCCCTTGTCATCCTTGCCTCTGTGTTTGTGTGTTTCCTGTTTTACTTTGAAAGTCTGTGTATTCTGCTTTGCTTCCTTTGTCTCGTTATGTCAGATTAGCCCCAGCTGTGCCTCCCCAGGTGTTTCCACTCCCCCCATTATAAACCCTTGTGTGTATTTACGTCCTCTGTCATGCTCACAGAGTCTTGTTTTCTGCTGTCGTACTTCTGTTTGGATTATTTCACAGTCATGTTTTTGGATGTTCCTGTTCAGTTTCATGTTGTCTCTTGTCCTCATTTTCATGGTTAGTTTTATTTTTCCAGTTTAGGTTTTAGTTTAGTTCTGTCTTTGTTTTGTCTCGCCTTGTTTGCCTATTTGTTCATCAGCCTAAATAAACGTCTTGCTTTTTATTATACTTCGTTTCCTCTCCTCCGCGAGTGCTTTTGGGTCAGCAAACACTTTCCTCCTGATCTCGTTCTTCTTGGTCTCATCTACTACAAAAATACACTCGCTACAGTAAAGTGATTAATTGTAACGTTGAGTGGTGAGTGTTTTTAAATGAGTGTTAGATGTAATAATTCCTATGCTGTATTTAAGGTCAATATAAAACTTCCATAGTGAAATTGCCCATTTAACCTCCAAGGACCTGGCGTCCACATATGTGGAAATTTTGCTCTACAAGGGCCTGATATCCACTTACGTGGACATTATAGTGCCTCTATTTTATCAAAATTTAAAACAAATATCCTCAATTAAGCAGTAAAGTATCTTCTATATAATAACATAAGCCTTTTGGGGTCCTTCTGTGAGGCGTGTTATTGTTGGTCTTGTAGCCTGTAAGGTATATTTGATTTAAAGCGGACTTGATAACAACAAAGAAGCTTCAAACATCACAGAGTAGTGATTTTCCCTCATTTTTAAAGTCCGGTTTTATTCCCGCTTTATTCTGTGACCTACTTTGTATTGCTTCTGGAAACTGAAAGAACTGACTAACCCTTTTTGTGTTTTTGTTGTTGAAGTGTACATTAAAACACACTTTCATTACAAATTTGTATTTTAAACCTTTTTGTGTCATTTTGGTGTTCATATAGATCAAATCCCACTTACATGGACGCTGTTTTTGCATATTCCAGGAACGCAGAGACAAATGAATGAAATCAGCACAGTGCGAGCAGTGCAGGGATTTTTGTGGTATTTAAAACATTTTCTCTTACAGTCTAGAAAGATTATCCTCCGTGTACAAGCAGGAGCGATTAGTCTCAGTGAAAGCTCTGGTTTTTTTCTGCAGTTGACAAAGACTCGGTTTCCCACCAAAATAAATAAAACTCAGCTATTGAATCTCGTGAGATCTGTGGTTAAACCACCATGAAGTTACTACTTACAGGTATTAAAGTGAATATATTAAAATGACTGCAGTATGAACATTAGTTGCTACATGACACAAAGAAATATCTGATGACTGTTCAAACTAACCAGACAAAATGATTTTTTGATTGATCTCCATTTTTATCCTGACTGATGAGATTAATAAACATAAAAAGATAATAATCCCTAAAAGCAGCAGATAAAACGTCACCTCATCACTGATGGAGATAAAAAGCAGAATAAAAAGCAGTCCTTCCTTCTCATCAGCTTGTTGTAATCTATCAGTTTGGATATTAAAGGTGTTTTTATCAGTCGACTCACCTGCTACAGGTGAACTTGGTGCAGCAGTGAACTCGGTGTGTATGTCTGCTCTCTCCGGTCTCTGTCCTGGATCTGACTAAAACCTGCTGATCTCTGCCTCATAATCTAGCTGCTCTCAGCATCTGGACACGTGAGTCAGTGCGTACATGTGTACATGCACATGTGTGTCTGTGTGCCTGCAGCTGATGGGATTTACATCCAGCAGCCTTTGAGTCTTGGCCTGATTCACAGCCTTCTCGCTCTCAGTGTGAATCTATTCATTATTCTGACATAGAAAGAGCTGATTTGATTAAGATGTCTGATTACAGGCTATAAAATTCAAAAATATGAAAGCGAATCTGAATTTAAAGGTTTATTTTTTAACATCAGGATTAGCAGTTTGAACAAATAATCCTAAAATAATCTTAATATGAAATCAACAAGCTTAAGAAGAGTACACGTGACCCTGGAAGCATGTTATGGACATTTTATGTTCAGCCCAGCTGGTTACTGACATGTCAGGTTTTTTATTTTTTATTTTGTTTCGGTGTGCAATTTTGCCAAAACAATGTGGGACTCTGGGGAGGGACCAGAGAAAACTACAATCAGACCAGGAGTGACATGTTTAGCCGCATGTTCTCCTTAAATTGCTGGCTGTCTGAGTGGTGTCCCAGAAA